GAGAACATATTTGCTAATGATACATCTGATAAGGGGTTAACATCCAAAATTTGTAAAGAACTTAGACAACACAACACCAAAAAAAATCCAATTAGAAAATGGGCAAAGGACCTGAAGAGACACTTGTCTAAAGAGGACATACAGATGGCCAAAAGACGTATGAAAAAATCCTTGACATCACTAATCATCAGAGAAATGCAAATTAAAACCACAATGAGATATTACCTCACACCTGTCAGCATGGCTGTCATTAATAAATCAACAAAGAACAAATGTTGGTGAGGCTGTGGAGGAAAGGGAACCATTGTGCACTGCTGGTGAGAATGCAGACTGGTGCAGACACTGTGGAATGCGGTATGGAGTTACCTAAAAAAATTTAAAAATGGAACTGCCTGATGACAAAAAGATTCCACTTTTGGGATTATATCTAAGGAAACCTGGAACACTGATTTGAAAGAATATATACACTCCCATGTTCATTGCAGCATTATTTATAATAACCAAGATTTGGAAGTGGCCCAAGTGCCCATCAGTAGATGAGTGGAAAAGGAAGCTATGGTACATTTACATAATGAAATATTACTTGACTGTAAAAAAAAATAAGGAAATCTTACCTTTTATAATAAGCATGGATGGGCCTGGAAAGCATTATAGTAAGTGAAATAAGCCAGTCAGAGAAAGACAGGTACTGCATGATTTTACTTATATGTGGAATCTAATGAACAAAATAAACAAACAAAATAGAAACAGACTCACAGATACAGAGAACAGACTGAAAGCTGTTAGAGGGGAGAGGGGTTAGGGGACTGGGTGAAAAAGGTGAAGGGATTAAGCCAAAAAATGAAAAAAAAAAGACAAAAAAGCTCATAGACAACAGTATAGTGATGGAAAGCAGGGTGAGTGGGGTAGATGAGTGTAAATGTGGAACAAGTAAAAGGAAAAAAACCCTCAGGAATGTGAAATTTCAAAGAATTCAAGAGAATCAAGTACTTCAAGGACGAAATAGCTCTTTTCCCCTACTACAATAACCATGGAGGCCATATGTTCCAGAAGGAGGAAAGCTATAAGATTCCATTTGGACGTCACATTTCTTCTTGGTTCCTCTCCTCCACGAATCTTTTCCTGATGTTCCAAGATAGACCCCTGAGTCTGAGGAATGACTAGTTATTACTGTGTCTCAGCACCTGGCATAGTTCCTGATACAGACATTCCCCACAGACCATCCAGAGAAGCATATTTTTCCATTGGTTTCTGACTGGAAGGGGCTTCATGGAAAACATTTCTTCCTATTGTCAAATAATTAACCTTCGGCATTTACTTCTTTTGGGGTGCATGTTGGGTTTAAAGGGGACCAAAAGGAGAAAAGAGGGTAGGGACCGACACTAGATCTGAAAAATAACATTTGCTTTCTAATGAAAATGTTTGCATGTAAGTCCCTTTAGAAGGGTAAAGAGCCATTTATTCTCATTTCCTCAAGCCTCAAGCAAAAAGGCTTATGTATGATACTTTCAAGTTAAGCTAGTTTAGGAGTCAGCAAACTATAGCCCATGGATCAAATCTGGCACATTCTCTGTTTTTGTACAGCCTGTGAACTAATAATGGTTTTTAAATTTTTACTTTCATTTTTTTAATAAATAAAATTTTATTTATTTCCAGAGACAAGTAAAGAGAGGGAGACAGAGAGGGAGAGGCACATCGATGTATGGGAGCTACATCAATATGTTGCCTCTTACATGCCCCCAGCTGGGGACCTGGCTCGCCAAGCCAGACATATGCCCTGACTGGGAATCTAACTGGTAACCTTTCAGTTTCCAGGCTGGCACTCAATCCACTGAGCCACACCAGCCAGGGCAGTACTAATAGTTTTTACATTTTTAAATGATTATAAAAAAATCAAAGAAGAATTATTTTTCGTGACATGTGAAAATTATAAAATTCAAATTTCAGTGTTTTATTGAAACACTGAATAAATGAAGTTTTTTTGAAACACATTAAGTTTTATTGAAACACAGCTTTGTCTAAGTATTGATATATTGTCAATGGCTGCTTGCACATTACAGTAGCAAATTTTAGTAGTTGAGACAGGTTATATATTCCACAAAGCCAAAAATATATGCTATCTGGACCTTTCTAGGAACATTTATAGGAAATGTTTGCTGACCTCTAAGTTCTATTGTTATGAAATGCTTCCTAACCAAGATGGTAAAAATAACTTGTAGTACTTATTTGTTCTTACCTAACCAATTTTAGTAATATTTTAAAGTTACAAGTGAATGAAGGAATTGCCTAGCTTCTCCATGTGAGGAGGGGTGGCTGCAGCTGGTAACTCTGCATTTCCTCCGTCTCTGTGGATCTCTCACTAACCACCCATGCCATCCCCACAATGCGGAAAGGCCCCTCCTTCATTGCTCTGGCACAAGCATGAGAATATAACACCTCCTTTAGTAAGTGTCCGCAGTAGAGTTTAGCAAGACCAAACCTTGAAAATAAGACGTTTAAAAATGTTGAATAAACAGACAAAATCATCAAATTGATAATTCAGTTTTAAAGAATAGCTCACTCATCTTTATTTTGGAATCTCCACCTAGGTGTTCTAAGTGGTGAGGGATCGCCTTCTTCCAACACCTGAGAACATTCTTAGGCATGTCTGAACACCAGGCAACCCAAACTCAAGAGTGTTTTCCCACCAGAAGCAAAATGTGCTTGCTCTATTCCCAGTATGAAGTCCGCCTTTGATGGAAACTGATTGTGGGACTGTCCTAAACGCAGAAAGAGGTTTTTTCCCTCCTATCTGATACTTAGTGGTCATTTAAAAACTGTTTCTCATGGAGGACCATTACTGCAGTTAAATTTAATGGCACAGGAAAAGGCTATATGGAGTAAATAATGGCCTCATTTTCACCGACATGATATAAATAACTACGCCTAATTCACCAAGAGACAACATACTGCTCTCAGTTTTGTTAGCAAAGGATCGTTCAGTTTGAGTAACTAAAAAAAAAGAAAGAAAAAAAGCTTACTAGTAATTTTTTTAAATGCCAAGTTACATATGAGTACATATTTAAAGGGTTTAAAAGAAGAAGTGTTAAAAAAAATTCACACCTTTTAGGTTTACATCAGTTGGTATTTCATAAAGAAACTGATGACAGAAATAGTGGTAAGAGGCGAAAACCATGCAGCAGCTTAGGGCAAGAGAAAAGAAATCCTACAACCCACAGAAAGATCAAACACCAAAAAGGGAGATTCAGACTTTGAAAGGAAACCAACAGAGCTTGGAACCATGGTATACTCAGAGTACGGGTTTCTCTCTTTATAAATGTCTGCAATTAGTCTGAATAAACCAGCTTCCTTGGTTCAATTCACAACCATCCAGGAGATCCTAACCATCACAAGTTGTTGTACTCATTGTTATGATGATGGTTTATTTTATAGAATATGAGAAAGTTACTGTCCCACCTTGAAGGGTTTTTAATTCAACAGATAAACACTTAGAAGAGAAAACATTTTTCACACATCTCTAAACAGGCCATTGCCAACAATTCATAAGCTCACTGTTTCCCTTGTTTATAGTTTAGCCTAATATGACATAACAAGTATTTCTCAGCTTATTTACTACCTTAAAAGTAAATATAAAATACGGTCCATTTTCAAGAATTTTATCTGCATTATGTATCCATAAAATCTAATCCATGAAGTACCTTTTAAAAATATATTACTTTGACTATGTGTAATAAAAGGATCATAAGAATAAGCTCTGGATTATAAAAATGGCAAGCACACAAGCAGAGAGCAAGTGGCTCAACATAAATTTAATGAGAGAAAATAAATTCTAATTTGTTGGATAAATTAGTTTTTAAACTTTTTTTAAAATAGAGAAATGCAATTCATACAAGGAAAAGGGAAGAATATACAATTATCCTACAATTTATCTATCAGAAATTATAGTTTATTAATAGGTCCTTTAGGTGCTTGAATGTCATTGAGGCATTATTGATGTGTCATCAATTACCAAAAGTCATTATTAGCTCACAGAAAATAAATGTAACTTAATCACAAGGCTAGTCCATATGCACATATATCCATGAGTTTCACAAACTAGGCATTAATATTACAAAATCCCCAGATAATAAAGCAATGGATTATATGCTAATCATTTTTACTCTGAGCCAAATTACACAAATTATGAAAAGCCTATCACTAATTGAGAGCTTTTGAAAACTAACATTCAGATGGTTATTTCTTGTGTCTCCAAAGATTTGTTAATACTGGCATAATGTTCATATAAACATTCTTTGCTTTAATAAAATATTTGATTACACTTCAGTAAAATTATCTTCCCGTAAGTACCAAAAAGAAAAGCCCATAGACTGAAAAATGTATTTGATATCCTTTTCATAGCTATGGGCTGTCTGTTGGCACTCATCTGGGCAGCAAGTCAAATCTGTGAAGTGCAATGCTGCAATATTTGAGGAGAAAGATTGCTGGATGTTAAGTTTTACTTTAAAATGGTATGTCTCCAGAGTTTTCCTTCTTTCAAGCTTTTAGCAGCTTATAAAGCCAAATTAATTTTCATAGAATAGAAAAGGTAAAATGTATCAAGGTTTAATTAACTATGAAAGAATGAAATTAATTACTGTTTTAGCTTTGTGGCATGAGAGAGTTACTGAGATAGCAAGTGAAATAGAGATAGTAAGTGCAATAGAAATAAGAGTTACAACCAAACATTACTGAGGCATAGTTTTGTCACCAACATGAAACATGTGGCAAACAGGAGTAGGACTTACCTAATGTTAGAAATTTCTTAGTAATATAAACATATCTCTCTGGACAGTTTCAGAACTTAAATTAATGTGAAAATTGTTAATTAATACAATCACATCTTTTGATTCAGTATCAGTACTTCAGAGATTCCATTCCAAGAAAATCACTGCATCTTCCCCTTGCCCTCATTCCTTCTCCCTGCCCACAAATCCTGCTTTTTTTCTTTTTTTGACACTTACCTTCTTCTGGTGTTTGTATTCTTAATGATTCACTCCAGTCACTCCAACTACCTTTATAAAGATGTAGCTTAGAAGAAACCTGAAATTCATATTCAGTAACTGGTTCCAGATCCAACAAATCATGTCTTCCTTTGGCATTTGTAACATTAACCTTCAATCAGACAGGGTTTTTAAAGATGAATATTAATACTATATTAATTTAAAGAATTTTAACATAAAGGTAAAATAAACTAGACCAGATAACCCTTTTTATTTTTTCAGATATGTCATTCATTGAAAAGAAATATCAATGGCTGGATTATTGCATACATATGATGTTAATATGAAATAACAGTGTTTCAAAAACAAAACAAAAAAACTCCTGAGATTAAAAACTTATCTATATGAGTTCCAGGGGGGACCTAAAACTAGCTGAAAAAGAAGTAAATGTTGAAAACTACCAATTTTGGAAAAGGCCTTGGAGAAGTTTCTACACGAGAGGTTATTTTTTTATTTGGTTATAATTAGAATGTGATGCATGTTTCAACCCTTATACAAACATAGAACTGGGTTCGAACAGAACACTTTAATTATATAAGAATAATTAGATAAGAAAAGTGTAGTTATTATTCCTCTCTTGAGTATCAGCTTATATGTGACACTTATCCTTTGTCATTATATGACATTATATTTTATAAAAATACTGGAAGGAATTATAATCCTATATTTTTATTGTAAAAAAATTAATGCCTAATAATCAAAGTGTGGAGCTTTATCTTTGAAATATTAAATTCCATATAAGCTTCTATGGACATTCCCTAATACTTCTCTTTCCAGTATATTAAAAAAAATTACTAAAATGTAATATGGGACAGGGGATAGAAAAACAAGGAGAAATGAGCCCTTTACTAGAGATGAAATATAGAAAATTAATACCAGTTTACAGAAGCTTGAAACTTAAAAGATTTCAAAATCAATGAGAATTAAAGATATTTCTTAATAAATAGAGGTGCCTCTGACTTTCTGTTTTATCTCAAGTGTGCACTTCTGGGCATTATTTTTAAATTACATATTTTGCTGGTATGAAAAGACAGAGGTCTGTGTAGCAATTCTAAGAAGACCTCTCTGATTTTCCCCTTCACTCTATAGACCATTACCATATTCCAGGACCTGCTGTTATTGGGCCGATATCTGAGCCGGTTAAGCAGCACCATCCCCTCATCTCTCCACCAAAGAGTGCATCTGCTCACAGAAGCATTTATAAATTTGATTCTGATGTCCCACGGAGGAAGAGGCTTCACTGGTAATCAGGACAAACAAAAAAGTGTAATTCAGGCTCCACAACCAGAAATTGCCTTATACATTGACATGAGCTATAAAGAGTTGAACAAAATTCATCTCTAAGATCATGACCCCCAAATTTGGTGAAATAAACAAGAGAGAAGTCCCTGGATTTTAGAAAAAAAGAAAAAGTTTTATTTGCTTCTAAATTATTAAAATAATTCCCCTTAATCTACCCTCATTTTTATCAAATAAACTACCACCAACATTAGTAATAGCACTGATTCCATTCAATCCCACGATTAAAAAAAATAAAACAAAACCCAATGTGCCCAACCTGAGAATTCCAGTGGCTGAGAAGGCAAAGGTCAGTAGTGATGATCATGCCAGGAGGAGAAAAAATGTTGGTAGAAAAGTCACAGGAAGGGGCATAGGAGCAGAGGAACAGAAGAAAAGAATTAGGGGGAAGAAGGTAGCTTAGAGATGTCTATGTAAAGAGATGGAATGTAGGATGGGGAGAAGTGTGATAGGAAAATGCATAGCAAATGCCTATGTTCAGACTTACGGTTAGCAGTGTGTATGCAAAGAGGTGCTGTGGAAAGAGAGAAGAGAAACACATCGTGTGAAGCTGGAACTTGAGGTAGGCCAAAAACCCAGTCCTACCTGGGATGGGCAGAAGGTCTGAGATTGGTCTTGGACGCTACTGGGCCAATTATATTTGCTCAGAAATGTGCTGGGACTGGTTCATTTTGGCAACCAAGAAGAGAGGAGTGGAGGTAAGCATTCTCAGAGCAAGGTGCATATAAACCTTGATACATTTTATTTATGGTTTGTGCCGGCTGCTCTAGGCCCAGCTCAAAACAGTGGAGTAGCCATGGGGGTAAACAGGCACCTCTGCTATGAAGGGCCTGCACTGAGCTTCTTGAATAATTTCCCTCTCAGTCAGAGGGTATTCTGGAAGCTGGCACTTTCATGGCTTTTGAAGCTAGGAGCTCCTGTTTGTCCAATATAGAGAATAATGCTCAATATCCCATTTTATACAACCATCTCAATGCAGCTCTAGGATCATGCACCCTTTTACTTGCATCAAAGCAGTATTTATCCCCCACCAGTGCCTGCTGGTCACTTTCCATCAGTCACTGCCTCTTTCAAAACAATCACATATAGAACATTTGAGTGATTTACCAAATAATGTTCATGTGCCAATGTATGACACCTATAAAAAGTGAATTAAAAGGTACCTATGTCCAAGAATGTGAATGTAGTTGGAAATGAAGAAGCACTTCCAAGACGATTGACAGCAATAACCCTGGCTGTGTAACTGAATTCAGATGATTCAGGAATTAGGTTGATTCCAAGGTCCAAATGGTCACAATTATCATTGCATTGCTTCTGCCAAGTTAAATTGTTTGGTCCATTTAGCCTGTAAATAAAAGGCAATTGTGTTTAGCAAGATACTTTATGTGCTACTTTCTTCTTTTAGTTCAAAAGAACAAAATTTTGAAATGCTTGAAATTCTAGACATATTTTTAAGGTCAGCCTTATTACTAGAAGGTACACTGTGGACATATTTGTATTCTATGGTAATAAATAGGACCATACTTCCTCCATCCCTTTATTTGGTAGTACTGAGACATTTTTGACATTTGTAGAGGTGAATATCGAAACCTACACTGCCTAAATTCCCCAAATCCTGCTAGACCTTTTGGCTCCTTAGGTCAGATTCAAAGGGTCCATGACTACTTTGGTACAATATTTACTTCACAGAAGTGCCAGTTCCTATTACGGAATGAACTGCAAGGAACTGAATTTCCCCGGGTCTCTCTCTCTGTAGTCTCTCAGGTCAGGTAAAGGTAGTTTGAAAATAAACTCCTCCCAGGCTAATGGAAAGCTCCCACAAGGAAGAGTCTGTTTTGTATATCATGACCACAAGAGTCTACATCTGCAAAAAAGGGAAGAGCTATAATAGAGCCAGATTAGCCCTGCTAAAGCAGGGGAGAACATCCATAAGATGGGCGTTGGATGCCCTGAAGAGACTCTTGAGTTAGACCTCAGACCCAAGACATCAGTTCTTACCCTTTAAATGAATAAACCAGTTTTAATTGATGGACACTATAACTTTTTTAAAGCATCTTATTATCTAGAGCTGTCTATTGCTTTTTCTCACTGGTAAAACTACAACTATTAGATAATTTTAAATGTCATCTTACAGACAACCTACAAAAAGGCTACAAAACCACTCTCTCACTCACTGTAAAGTGTACGCAGTATATAGGTGGGTGTCTCGTCCTCTGTCCCAGGTACAGGCCACAGTCCCATGTTCTCCCTTCTGTGTACAAGACAAGTTTTGGGGCTGCTCTGGAACAACTTTAAAATAATGAACAAAATCATATATTTTAAATGCCATGTAAATGATATTTCAGTCACATTGTTATTATTTCTCAACAAGGTAATAATGATTTCTCTATATGCCCCATGCCCAGACAAGGTGATATTTATTTTAGGTCCCATCAAGTTCAAATTTGCCTCCAAGGCATGAATTTCTTCTACTAACAACAGCTACTAATAATAGTGACTATGGATCAAACACTTACTCTATGCCAAATCCTATGTTAAATGTTTTATGTGTGGTTTTTCTCAGTTAGACATCACAGCAGCTACATTATGTACATACAATTATTATCCTCACTTTATTGAAGAGGAAACTAAGCCTTAGAGGTTGAGTGTCTTGCCAAAGACTGCGAAACTACAAAGTGGCAGAAGCAGCGCTCAAGTCCAGGTGCGGCTGACTTGAGTCCAAGCCTTTCACCACCATATTCTATGATTCTCCCTGGAAGGTGAGTACCCAGTGCTAACTCCATTACCCCAGTGATGATGAGTTTACCTTTTCAGAATAAAGTCCACTCAAATATTAGAAACCTTTAAAAATTAGGGGCTCGCCCTGGCCAGTGTGGCTTACTTTGCGGGAGCATTGTCCTGTGAACCAAAAGGCTGTGGGTTTGATTCCCAGTCAGGACACATGTGGGAAGCAACCAATTAATGTTTCTCTTTCTTTCTCTCTCCTTCCCTTCCCCCTCTCTAAAATCAGTAAGTATGTCCTCAGGCGAGGAAAAAAAAACTAAACTAAAACTAAAATGAAAAATTAGGGCCTCTCTTTTCTCCATTGACCTGAAATTTGTTGCCAAGATATTTCTATCCACCGGCTCCACTCATGTTCTTCTGGGCTGTACCAACTAAATCTAATTTCTGTAGCATCACTTGGAGTACTTTATGAACATTTATAAATTAATTATTCATATACATTGAGTAGCTTCCATGGGTAGGCAAAGTGCTAACTGTGGAAATATGAAGGTGTACAAGGCAGACATTGTCCCTTCTTTGTAAGGCATTTTTATTTTTTTAATTTTTAAAAATTTTTAAAAATTGTTTAATTATAGTTTTCCTCATTTTCCCCCATTCCTCTCCCCTGTCCTACCAATCCCCCTTAAATGAAGCCATTTTATAATCAAAGGCCGAACCCAAAGCTAAGAGTTTCTCACATATAACAGTCATCATATTTTACCCTCACATTGAGACCCACATGTAGATAAATATTTCCTTTGGGTGATATTAAATAAGTATACCACTGAAACCCTTGATATCATCCTCAGCACACACCACAGACCAGGCATAGTAACTGCCCACTGTTTGACTTTGGCCAAGTTAACATCTCAGAGATCCAGCTTCTTTATCTATAAGATGGGTATAAAATATATAACTTATATAATTTAGTTTAATGGAATAAACTTTTCCGAGAATAATAGATCCTTCCTTGTATATACATATGTTTTTCACATATATGTATATTTATATATTCATTTTGTACACCTATATATACTATATCTGACTGAGGCACTTAAAGTACAATACTATATTAACTTCTCATTTTATGTACAACTTTTTGTTTATCTTGTAGTTAATTATCTTGTTTTTACATTTGTTCAGATTTTATTATTAATATAGTTCCAAACTCTTAAGCCAATTATCTGAATCACTGTTCACCATATTCAGATGCACTGAGAAATCTATCAGATTCATCTGCTTGAAGACCTCTTTCTTGGAGAACTCTGAGCTTTCCAATATGACTGGTTTGCCTCTATGCCTGGCACACAGCTGCCATTCTGGAATTGCTTATTTTCTGTACCCTGCAAATTCTTTCTTCCTTTTCCTGTGTTGGAGCTCCTGTTTCTTAGATCCAATGCTTTCTTCTTTCTTGATTTAATTATGTGTTGGTGGAGGACATCCTCCAGTAGTTACCTGGGAAGCAGTGCAAGGATAGAAATATTTAAAACATAGCTTAAAATATCTTTATTCTATCCTCACACTTGACTAATACCTTGGCTGAGTAGGTTGAAAAGCATTTTCATTCAGGATTCTGAAGGTCGTGTTCTGTTGTCTTTTACATTTTAGGTTGTTGTTTGGAAGGCCAAGTCCATTCGGATTCTTGAGCCATTGCTATGGTCTATTTTTTTCTCTTCAGAAGATTGTAGAATCTTCTTTGTCCCATGACTCTGAATTTTCACAAAGATACGCTTAATGAGGGTCTATTTTCTTTTACTCTTACTGATTCTCAAAGAGTTCATACATTCTGTGAACTTTGTCCTTTAGTTTGAGAAACATTCTTGATTTATTTCTCTGAGATTCTCTCCTTTCTGTTTTTTCTTCCTAAAAATCTCTAGTTTCCATAGATTGGACTTTCCCCTAATTTTATATTTTAACCCCTGTATTTTAAAACTCTTGGTCTCTTTGCTCTAGTATGAGGAAAAAATTTCCTCAGTTTATATTTCTACCCTTCTATTGAGCGTTTAATCTCTGCTTATTTTTGGGGGGTGGGGGAGAATATTTTCTGTTCTCTGAATATTTTTATAGCATCCTATTTTTTGTTCTGTATGCAATATTTTTTCTTAATTCTCTAAAGGTATCAAGGAAAGTTCTTTGTTTTTTGACATTTCTTTTCCATGCTTTGTTCCATGTGTTTGTTTTGGTTCCTGTCTTTCATGCTAGACATTTTCCTCAGATCCTTGTATTTTTACTCATATATAGGAGTGGGGCACTGAATTAGAGACTGGAGCTCTGTGTGTATATCAGTTGAGGGACCTTTGCCAACTCTGGGTTTCCCTCCAGGGTGATCTGGTTAGGTTTTCTGTGGCTCCTCTGCTGTCAATTTTAGATATTTCTTCCTGGCATAGCCAGATTATCCAGAAAAGGATTTTCAAAACTGCCTAGAGGAGGGTACAAGCCTGAGGGAGCTGTATGTAAATGTTTCTTCAATTCCTCTGTTTTTCAGTGTGGTACTACCAATCTCAACCAAACTGGCTGAAACTAACTCAGCGACCCTCTAATACCAAGCCTCCATCCAGCCTTAAACCAGTGCAGTGGAGCAGTGACTGGCTGCATAGGATTGGGAAAGGAATCTAAAATCTGTTTATATTTAAAAAGATTTTCAATCAGCTTCCTCATTTTTAGCTTCACTTTTACTCTCACACCCAGAAGTATATGGTATCGTCAATTTCTGAGTCTTTCTGAGGTAGAAGTTTCTGCATGAAATCAGTTGCATCTTAACTTTCCCCACTGTCAGCTGTAGGCTAAGCCAGTTATCACTGGTCTACCTGCTTTCCAGCTTCCAAAATGTGGTTGATGTATCTCCTCTCCTATTCTTTTTGTCTTTTAGTGCTTGTGCCACTAGAAAACTTTCTTTACTGCATGTTGGCTTTATTTCAGGGGGAATGAGAATAAATGTGTTTAAACCACCATTTTTACCCTAACTCTTCATAGGGTCTTTTGATAACCAAATGAGATATGAAATACCCAACACTCTTAAATAATGAAAAAGTCCTCGTCCTCACCTTTACTCCTAAACATTGCAGAAATTCTGATCTTTAACTCACAGATCATCTTTCTCGATGTGAGTTCCCTGGACCAGGAGATCCAAGTGTCTATTTCATCCCAGGACTTGGTTTTGGGAGATACTATCTGTCCCTGGAGAAACCAGACCTAATTCTCCTCAATACAAATACATAATAGTTGATTTCTGAAAAAGGACAGAAATCAAAGCCTATAAAAATTAAAATAGCTTGTAATACAATAAATTGTTATGAGCATTATAATTGTTACTGTTTTTAAAAGCCCTGTATATTATGGGCAATGAAAAGTTTAGAAAAATGGTTTTCAGAAATAATCAATGGCAAAACATATATTGAAAACAACTCAACAAAAAACCCGTTGTCTTTCATTTATTGCCTTGAATGTCTAAATAGTTTGTGGAACAATCCTATGAGGTTAAACTAAAGCACTGATTGCTTAGTTACTACACAATCAGGAAGAGCTCTGGATAGCAGAGCAGCACAAGGCCACACAATGGCAGGGAATAAAAGGTTAAAGGCCATTTACCTGTTTCCCATTCTAAAGAACCAGCCAACTCTACACAGGACCTCTCAGGATATGCAATGGCACTACGGGCTGCCACTTATCACAAAAAAGAAAATGGGCCGTTATTCTCTCACTAGATAGGATTAAGCTTACTGTACTGGTGAAACCAACATTCATTGTGTCTTTTCTTGGAATGACTAGCCATATTCAGAAAAAGGTGTTGCTTCCAGTTAGTCCTTCACCTCAAAGGTGCTAAACTTGTTCAAAGAGCAGCCATTTCATGGTGTGGTTACAACCTGAGCATGTTGCACAAGCAATGTTCAGGCAAGCAGCTCCACTCAACTGAACTGCACCATGGCAGACATGCCTCACCATCTCCCTAGATCTTCTGAGGCTGCAAGATCACAAATGCGCCTGCATACTCTCTGTGGAAAAGTAAAAAATGAAAAGGAGTTGCAGCACTCTAATTTATCTGAAATGAAACAGAACGGCTAAAGACATCTGCAAGGATACTGACTTCCAAGGCTATCGTCAGCCTACTGAAAAAACAAAACACCAGCAGCACTGTGGGCACCTGGAACTGACATCCCAGGGCTGGGAATGTCTAATGCAAATATGTGATGTTGGTCTGGTAAGATGGCAAATTACCTGCGTGAAATATTCAGGTATTCTGAGGTCAAGGGAGGTGAGGACCATTGGCGTTTTTTAGAAAATATTTCATTTTGTCTATAACCAATGCTTATACTTTAAGGGAAGCATGTTCAGCTACCCAGCACACTGGACACGCGAAGAAAAGAATAACACTGCACAGAAGTGCAATCTTAGCTCTCATGACCTATGTATCTCCTGTGTGTCTGGTGCTAGATTAAGAACTTTGCAGAGAAGGTGTCGTCTAATCACAGCAACCATCTTATGAGGTAGATGTTAGTATCTTCATAACAAAGATGGAGAAAATGAGGCTGAGAGAATTGAAACTGTCTAAGGATACATTGCTAGTTGCAGGGTTGGAATTCAAAGCTCCCGCTCCTCCTGCAACACCACAGCCTGTCAGAGCTGAAAGTACACAACCCGTAAGTGGTATGAACAGGAGACTGGACCTAGTTTATGTCTCTTTACCCCTAGTGGCTTCCTTGGCCATTGCTTGGTGCTCTGCTCAATGCTTCTGGTGACCCTCCAGAAACACTGCCTGGCAACAACCATATCCTTATAGGTCACAGAGAAGAGGTTTGCATCTTTCCTGAAAGGAGCGTCACTGAGCTCTACATTACTGTTTTCACTGCAGAGACCCTGTCCTTACATGTTGGTCAGCCTGCTGTAACAATTTCTCCTACTCTCCTCATGCCTCTCATCTGCTACTTGGGAGCTTCCCTGGAAGCTCAGAAGCACAGAGTACCATGGGATCTCTCAGGGATCATGCATGTTCACTGGTTTGTCTGGCTGGGACTTTAAGGCTGTGGCTTCAGGCAGGTATTCTGTTAGCTTACCCTGTGCATTGTTACTTAGGCTGCCTATGCCAACCCTTTCATTTTAGTTCTTACTCCTAGCAGCTGCTGGAAGGGACCAGCAGTGTAAGCAGCAGTATGGGGGAGTTGATGCCCTGTGGGTGAACTTTGACCAATGGCAGACAGGCTCTCTCTTTCCCATCATTGCATTTCCATATGTTGTTTCTGGGGATGTCTCCAGTGACCATGGAACTAGCTGTGTTTTTGGTTGACTCTGTGACCAGCTCAGTAATTGAACCACCTTGCGCTTTGCTACTTTCCTGGCTCATTCTTATTTCCCTGGAACTAAATAACTCTCTTCCCCCAAGGAGTGTTAACATGTCAGTTTTGCCCCAGTTTTCTAGAAAACCCAAGAAAAGATAGCATGTATGACAATAGTTTTCTTTTAATCTCTGCTAAGTATGATAACCAATGGTCAGGAGTGGATGGAAGAACTATTTTTTGTACATTAAGTTAGAGAGGGGAGAAGTGCGCAGCCTTGGGTAGTCAGCCTGGGCAACATAAGTCAAAAAAGACATCTCTTTCTTCTTCTTAGGAGGTTGTAGCTTTGAACAGATTCTCTTAAGTCAAGAAGATATGAAGACTCACCTGCAGAGATCCATTTTCCTGACATTGGAGCCCAAGGACAACAAGTAAATGATGTTAATGGCCAAAAAGAAGAGGGAGGTTTGGGAGGAAGGCAACGAGGGAGAGAGAAAGAGGGAAGGAGGGAGGGTTGGAGAGAGAGAGAGGGAGAGAGACAGAGACAGAGACAGAGAGACAGAGAGAAATGAGAGAATAGAGACTTACCCAATGAGACCCAAATTGTACTGCTATCCGGACTTCTCACATTGAGGTGTTCACGTTGCTTTCAAGATAAAATATACCCAAGTGGTGGCAGAAGAAAGAACCCTGTCCCATATCAGGATTTCTGCTTAACACACAACAAATACCAACAAATCACCAATTTTTAGGAATTCAGAATGGAATGCTCACCGCCAACTGAGATCTCTGCCCCACATATTCGAATCTCCTCACGACTGCTACAGGCCAGTTTGCAGACAAACAGTGTTGTACCCAGAGGAAGATCTGAGACCTGAAAACTGAGGGACTGGGCCTGAGCAAACTTGATCCTTTGGTGGACTTTGTAGAGGATTAGCTTGTTAAAACTGGAATATCGAGAGCAGCCTTGTTTGGGCTTCAGAGAGCATGAAATACTGACAGCTGATCCAAACAAAATCACATGGGAGGGCTCCACAGTCACATCACCCCTCTTGCACACATCTGCAGTAAGACACAAATGGAGTGCTCAGTTGGCATGTAAGAAACCCATTCCAGAATGGAGGGTTTGTGTAAGTCTCAAAGGCAGGGTAAAACCAGCCCCATCAAATAGCAGAAATGCCAATAACCTCTGCTTCCCTGGCTGTACTGGTGATGTACACTGAGAACAGAAGGTAACCATATTAAAGTCTAACTGAATTAAACATTAATTCTTCTCAAAACACTAATACTATCATCAGAACTATAAATAGGAAGCTGGTGAGAAAACAGGGTTGGAAGAACATTCAAGAACTCAGTTCCAGGAAAAGCCAATCCCTCTAATATGTAAATTATTCACCAGACTACTAAAAAGTACTTCCCAGAATAAATCACATTTGTTTCCATCCCCATTTATAATTTATAATGCTCACTTCAATACTCATACCCAAAAGAAAAAAAAAAGACAGTTTTAAAAGGCTATTAGAAAATTTAGGGGCAGACTTGGGAATAGATCCCTCTTTTGCTATATTAGTCTTACAAAGTAGGTGTAATCTATTACATTACTTTATCACAGAAAATATTCAGGGGCTCTGGTGTGTCTGTAGTTGGCAACAAGGATGGAAATTAGGCCTTACCATGCCATATACTGATATTCCTTCAAGATGGGATACCCTGGGCTAGCTGAACCATTACCCAATACAGCTAATATAAAATTACATGAATGCATTCTTCTTTTAAAAAGAGTTCTCCATATTACTTACTATATGTCAGTTACCACATTAAACTCTTATTTAAAATTCTTCTTACCACTAAAGTTTTTGTATAAATAATTAGAACAACTATTCAGAATTATCAGTTTTTGGTGGTATTTAATAAGTGCCAATGAAAGAACCTCAGAATTATAGATTCACCCTGAACTTTTAGATGTGATATAAACCCTTCGCTGAAAGTCTTTTTTGGGTAATTGTAAGATTGCCTGGATCAACTCCCATCAATAGAAATTGACTTTTTAAAAAGTTATTTAAATCAAAAAAAGGAAGCACTGAAAATTCATTTAAAATAAAAGTTCTCACTTCTATTTGCAGAACTAAAACTAAGTTTCTTTTTCTCATCTTACTTATGTTTGCTTTCTGCTTCTTTGATCTGCTTTGACCCTAATGGGCCAGGAAGTCAAAAATAAGCTCCCAATAGAAAAAGCAAAGAAAACGCCAGTCATTACTTTTTTTTTTAAATAGCTAAATTCACCTGTTAATACCCTCTATTAAAATGCATTATAATGTAAGACATTCGTTCATGATGCTGAGCTTGGCTACCTAGCCATTCTCTAACAGCAAAAGATATCATTGAACTCTTATTTTAATCATTAGTATAAATTAAATAAAATACGTATTAGTTACATACATAGACCAGACATATTCACTTAAATGGCAGGTGAATGACTACAAGAGACCAACTACCAGAACATTTACCGCAAATGCATATTGCACCTGTAACTGAGAATTTAAACAGCAAATCTTTCCACAGGTTAGATTACAGAGATATCCTACCTATTTTTGCTTTAACCAACAGCAACATGATGACAGAAGTAAGTGCCAAATAGCACGCTGTAACTGTATGTGCCATGAACTGTCACCTCTGGAATATACCTCTATATTTTTCCTTGTAAAAGAAAACAGATCCATCATGTTAAACACATGCAGAATATACAGAATCGCCAGCATTCAGAAGCACTTACAATGCCCCTATAATTTTCTCCATATTGTTAATATTTTGTTTATTATTTTCAAATAATGACATGTACTTTTAAAACAGCGAAATTGAAAATCTTAGCCATCTCTAACCTCCATGTCACTTAAGATCCTTGGGGTCAGCAAAGGGTGGGAGAAGAGACTTGGCTTTGGAGTTCATTAGAACTGGGTTTAAATATCTTGAGACTATTGACAAGTTATTCAACTTTCTAAGCCTCACTACTACACAATTTTTTTCTTCCAAATAGGTTTCATCATTACAGTCAAGCACAGTAGTGTGGAATTCCAAGACTAATGAGAATTTTTGATTTAGCCACCTGTTTCTGGAAGTAACAGGAGATTGAAGAGCAGCTCATAACTCTCCCCTGCTCCCAGAACTTGTTAAAAAAAAAAGTTCTCTTTGGCAGTAGGAGAAGAATTCCAAGTGTTCCAAAGAGGGTTGTTTGGATTTTCTATATGAATTCAATTTTACTTGTGTGTTTGTTTGTTTATTTATTATTTTACCAACTATTTTCATCTTGAATGGTTTGGAAAATGCAAGTGGTGATTTCTGATTGTTTCCAAATTTAAACAAGCTAAGGAATGGCTCGACTAATCATTAACAAATTCTCTAAATTCTATTAAAGGTGGGCCAAAAATTCATAAAGATGGAAAGTTCTCTGATGTGAGGCCACTGGGAACCAGCCAATGCAAATGTTCACTTTTTCTTATCATACCTAGAAATGGGCCAGAATGTACTGAAGAGCCTCAGAAAAATTAGCTTATTCACTTAGTTATTGAGGACTACTTTTCATGTGCCAAGCACAATGTTAAGTACTAGACACAACAGTCTTGCCCTAGAGGGCTCCCAAGGAAGTACCCGCTTGCTTCTTTGACTCCTCTACCTCTGGCCTACTCATCACTTTGAGTAGCCCGAAATAATAACATTTTTTTAAAAGTCCTTGGTTGCCAATCCTTCCTCTCCTGATGTTTAATTCTTGGAGTATCTCAATTCACTCAATGCACTATTTTTTTTTTCTATTTCTACTTTCTTCTGAGAGATTTCATCTGATTACCTGGCTCTAGATATCATCTGTATGCTAACGACTCTCAGGTGCATATCTTCAACTCAGACTTCTCCCTGAGCTCTAGTCTCACATATCTGTCTCCTTAGCATCACTTCATGGATATCTGGCTCAATATTAACATGTTCAGTTAGAATTTTAGGTCTCCCTTCTCCAAATTGGTTCTTTCTCCAGCCTGTTCTATTCCAGCGAATAACACTTTTATCCCTTAAGTTGCTCAACAACTTAGAAGTCATCCTTGCTTCCACACTGTAACCATCACTAAGTCCTATAAATTTTACCTCCAAAATACATTACAGATCATTCCACTTTTTTTTTCTATCATCCTCACCCATTGTCATAACCATTGTCATTTCTCCCATAGGCGACTAAAGTAGCCCCTTAAAGTGTCTCTACAATCCATCTTTGCCCTTTCTAAGTCAGTTTCGCTACCTTTTAAAAACATAAATCAGATTATGTTACATCCTCACACCACCACTATTTAAAACCCTTACATGGGTCCCCATGTTAGAATAAAATCCGAAGTCCTTACCACACACGATCTCTCAGCCAGTGCATGGGCTCACCTCTGCCATCTTACCACCAACATCTGCTTTGCATTTTTGCCCTGCTCACTCTACTCCATTCACACTGGCCTTCAGATTGTTTGTTAACAAGATATGCCCTTTGCTGCCTGGAGGGGCGGTTGGCGATTCTCTGCACTTTCCATTTCCTCTGCTAGAATTTTCTTCCCCTGCTCTCAGTGGCTGGCTGACTTACATTCTTCAGATCTCATATCATGTGTCACTTCCTCAGAAAGCCTCTCCCTGACCACCTAGCCAAAGATGTCTTGCTCAGCTAGCAACTTTCTACTCATTGCCTTATTTATTGCCTTCGCAGTACAATCTGAAACTACCTTGTTTATTTACTTGATTGCTTGTTTGCCATCTATCTTTGTGCTAAAATTTAAGCCACCACGAGAGCAGAAATATTGACTGTCTTGCTCCCTGCTGTATGCCAGCACTTAGCATTGGGAAAGGATACTCAGTAAATGGTTATTCAAAGAAAGCAGGGAGAGAGTGAGGGAAGAAGGAAAGGAGGGAGGAGGAGAGAAGGGATATGAGCTATATGGATAACTCCCTAAACATCTTTGTGGTAGGCAGAATAATAGTCCATGTGAGATGTCTAGGCCCGAATCCCCAGAACCCATGAATATATTACAGTACATGATAAAGAGACTTTGGAGATGTGATTAAAATTAAGGACCTTGAGATGGGGAAATTATCTTGGATTATCCAAATGGGCCCGATCTAACCACATGAGTCTGTAAAAGTGGGTAAGGAAGGCAGAGAGCTGTGATGCATGAAGGACTAGACCTGCCTCTGCCCTCTTTGAAGACAGAGAAAGGGGACCATGAGCCAAGAAATATGGTGGCTTCTAAAGTCTGGGGATGGATCTCGATTTACAGGTAATATAAAATGTTTTTTTTTTCCTGGGTGTTCATTACAAATGTGTGAGAAGCACTGATCTAGATAGAAATCCAACAGTGTTCCTCTCTCTAAACCATTAAGTCCAAGGCCATGGCTTACAATGGCCTCTGGGAGATAATTCCTATCTTTTATCACCAGCCACATTTCCACCACTGTCTACTGACATTCAGCTGCATAGTAACACTGAGCTATTTACAGTTCCCTGCACATTCATGCCAATTCATGTTTTTGTATCTTTGTTCACGTTATTCTTACTTTCCACTGTTCTCAGACTGGCTGAGTCTCTCAGGCTGAGATTTCTCTCACTGTCTCTCTCTCTCTCTCCCTCTCTGTTACTATGTGCCGGGCTTGGGATAGAGTGAAGAGACAGTGGGTTTTGGCTCTTATGGAACCAACATTCTGGAGCAGACAGGGAGGAGAAAAAGAAATAAATAACAAATTCAGATAATGATAAAAGGCAGAACATAAGGCTAAATGGGGAGAGAACTGGGGGAGGAGAGAAGGTGGTCAGTGAAGGTGTTTCAAGGGGGTGAGGTCTGAGCTGAGATTGGTGCAGGCCAAGTAAGGACTCAGGAAGAATTCTCCTGACAGAGAAAATGACGAGTGCAAAGCCAGAGGCAGAGGAATAAGCTTGCTGTGCATGAGGCACAGAAATAAGGTCAGGGTGGCTCTGGAAAGTGATTTTGGGGAGATTAGCATGAAATGAAATTGGAGAAGGCAGAAGCCAGACCTACCATGGACTTGTTTGGCATGGAAGGGAGCCTGGATTTCACCTTCCAAACTTTTGGAAACCACTGGTGTTTAATTAGAATTTTTATTCATATATTTAACTGGATTTTAATTGGGAGTGTTATAAGATATAAATTACACTAAATACACATATGCAAAACCAAAAAACAAATGAACAAAAAACTAGCCTTGGCCGCTTGTATGGGGGTCAGAATGGAAACAAGCCAACCAGTTAGGAAGCAATTGCAGAGCCCCGGCAGGAAGTGATGGTGATGTGGTCCACAGTTATAGTATTGGGTTGGCCCAAAAGTTCATTTGTTTTTTTCCATAAGATGGCTCCAGTAGCACTTAGTTGTCTTTAACACCACTAAAATCAATTTTGTCAGATTGTATTGTGACAGCTGTCATATCAGCATGCATTAAAAAAAAACTGATCAAAACCGATGAATTTTCGTGTAGCCATTTAAATATTGAAGATGGAAGAAAATATGTAATATTTTTGGCATATTATGCTTTATTATTTTAAGAAAGGTAAAAATGCAACTGAAACACAAAAAAAGATTTGTGCAGTGTATGGGGAAGGTGCTGTGACTGATTGAATGTGTCAAAAGTGGTTTGCGAAGTTTTGTGCTGGAGATTCCTTCCTGGATGATATTCCATGGTTGGGGAGACCAGTTGAAGTTGACAGCAATCAAATCAAGACATTAACTGAGAACAATCAACATTATACCATGCAGGAGATAGCCGATGTACTCAAAATGTCAAAATCAATAAAGTTATTGGTGAAAATGAAAAAAAAAAGTGTCTTATTTTATGGAAAAACCTAAATGGACTTTTTGGCCAGCTCAATAGTAGAGATGGAAAGAAGCTGTCAGATCTCAGGAAGCCTTACTTATGTCTTCAGGGCAGATTGAAGCCTCCTCGTAGTGTCTTCATAGCATCTTGCACCCTCCTATCTCAGCACCTGCCATAAGTGGAACTAATATATTCAGGTACCTATCTACCTGTCTCTTCCATTTGCTTGAAAGCTCCTCATGGACAGAGGCCACAATTTGTGACACACAGCAGGCATGTGCTGAACTGAATGAAACTTAAATGGTTTTTCTGTGTTCCTCTAATTTACTTCTAGTTTAGTTTAATGTAATTAAAACTACATTACCTCTTATTCTGCTACACTGTGACTCATGTCATTAATAAGTTTTTGTTTATTGTAGTTACCCTAGTTGCTTCATTAAAATTTGGAATATTCTCTATAAAGGAAATTAAGAATTGAACTAGAAAATAATTGAATGGACAGATACATAGGGATTAAATAGGTTTCTGCTTCCTAACTGCAAAGGATATCTACAGGGTATCTTCCAATGTGCATTGCAATTTATGAAGCTGTAACATTCTCCAAACTGTAAAATATTCAATTGGGTATTATAACTTTAAAAATGTATATATATGAAATATATATACACACCTGTATATGAAATAGGCAAAACAGAAGATAAATTTGAGTTTACATGGCACCATGATCCAAACACAAACTTGCTCATTTTCTCTGAATACCAGGTAAAATAGCTTCTCCATTTATAAGAAACTCAGAACCCTAAAGACCTTCAAGTAAA